TGTGAGTGTGTATAAGTGTGTGTGTGGGTGTGAGTGTGTATAAGTGTGTGTGAGGGGGGGGATGCGTGTGCATAAGTGTGTGTGAGGGGGTGTGAGTGTGTATAAGTGTATGTGTGTGGGGGTGTGAGTGTGTATAAGTGTGTGTGAAGGGGTGTGAGTGTGTATAAGTGTGTGTGAGGGGGTGTGAGTATGTATAAGTGTGCGTGGGTGTGAATGTGTATAAGTGTGTGTGTGTGGTGGTGTGAGTGTGTATAAGTGTGTGTGGGGAGTGTGAATGTGTATAAGTGCCTGTGGGTGTAAGTGTGTAATAAGTTTTTGTGTGTGGGGCGGTGAGTGTGTATAAGATTGTGTGAGAGGGTGTGAGTGTGTATAATTGTGTGTGTGGGTGTGAGTGTGTATAAGTGGGTGTGTGAGGGGGTGTGAGTGTGTATAAGTGTGTGTGAGGCGGTGCGAGTGTGTATAAGTGTGTGTGGGTGTGAGTGTGTATAAGTGTGTGTGTGGGAGTGTGAGTGTGTATAAGTGGGTGTGAGGGGGTGTGAGGGGTTGTGAGTGTGTAAAAGTGTGGGTATGAGTATAGATAAGTGTGTATAAATGTGTGTGTGAGGGGCTGTGAGTGTGTATAAGTGTGTGGGGGTGTGAGTGTGTATACATGTGTGTGTGAGTGTATATAAGTGTGTATAAGTATGTGTGTGAGGGGGTGTGAGTGTGTTTAAGTGTGTGTGATGAGGTGTGAGTGTATAATTGTGTGTGTGGGGGGGTGTGAGTGTGTATAATTGTGTGTGTGGGGTGTGAGTGTGTATATGTGCGTTTGTGTGGGTGTGAGTGTGTATAAGTGTGTGTGAAGGGGTGTGAGTATGTATAAGTGTACGTGGGTGTGAGTGTGTATAAGTGTGTGTGTGAGTGTATAAGTGTGTGTGAGGGGGGGATGTATGTGTATAAGTGTCTGTGTGAGGATGTGTGAGTATGTATAAGTGTCTGTGTGAGGGTGTGTGAGTGTATATAAGTGTGTGTGAGTGTGTATAAGTGTGTGTGTGAGGGTGTGTGAGTGTATATAAGTGTGTGT